GATGTAGAGGACGAGGCGGCCTTCGGGGTTGGCGGAGTGGATGGTTGGGCGGCCCGAGGCATGGCGTTTGAGCTCGGTGATGCCAAGCTCGTTGAGGATAAGGCCCTCGTTGTTGAGCACCCAATCCTCTCCACCATAGTGAGACACATCGTCGCCTTGGAAGGGGAGGCCGGCGATGCGCCCAAGCTGCTCCACGGTGAGCTCGATCGGCGTGCTCTTGACGAGCGAGTAGAGCACGTCGTCCTCACGCCGGAGGTTGGAGTAGAAGGCCCGGATCAGCGCCGGGTTGATCTCCTTGCGTGCCCGGGAGACGAACGGCCAAAGGCCTGCTTGATGAAGCTGCGCGTCGAGGTCGTCGTAGCCCTCCAACTCCGGGTAACGCTCCGGGATGATGCGTGGGGGAGCCACAACCCATTTAGAGAAGAAGGTGAGGAAACGGGTGCGCTCCTCCTCGGAGTCAAACCAAAGGTATGACCCGTCGCCATAGTAGAGGCACTCCTCGCAGGATGACGTAGGCGCCCGGGATTTGGACTTTGATTTCCCGGAGGTAGCGGCCCTGCTCTTGTCCTTGCCCATGATGAAGAAGGAAACAAAATTGTAAGTGGAGTGAGATATGCAAGAGTATGGAAAGAATTTGTGTTTGTGTGTGTAAAAATGAGGAGTGGAGGCTCCAATTTATAGAAAAGGAGGCCTCCAACGTCCAAAATTTCAAAAAATATGACTGTTGGAGCAATAAATGAAGGTGCAACGGATATTTTTTTTGAAAATCTTGACCAGAACCGCGATGTTCCATAGGCGACATCGCTGTTGGAACAGCGCTGTTGTGCCTAGTACAGCGCTGTTCTGCGTCAAGTTTTAAAAAAAACAAGAGTCAAAAGGACAGCGATGTTGAGTACCCTACAACGATGTTCCAAAAGTTTCTGGAATTGTGTAAGGGTTTGAACCCATTAGGACAGCGATGTTGGGTTTCTCTACATCGCTGTTTTGCGATAGAGGAAAAAATTTGTAAAAGTGAACATCGATGTTGAGGGTAAGACATCGTTGTTTAAAAAGTTTCTGGTTTTGGTTGAAAACAAAAGGTTTTGGGAAGACAGCGATGTTGAAAAGGGAACATCGATGTTCAAAAGGTTTCTGGAAAGTGAAGATGTAAGGGACTCCCTGGGACAGTGCTGTTGGCTTGATGGACAGCGCTGTTGGAGAACTTTCTGGTTGACGGTGTTTCTCTCAACAGTGCTGTTGTGTCTCCTGGACAGCGCTGTTTGTATGGTTCCCCCTGATTTCATGAACAGGGTACCTGCAAAAAAGAAAAAGTTCTCCGACGCTCAAGTTAGTAAATGTTTAAAAAATTTAGATGCACAACTTAGATCATCGTGGAGTCAAGGATTCTGATGATTGAGTTTTTCGGTAAGTCAACTTTCCCAATGAAGAGTTAGTTTTCTCCGAGTGTCGTGTCTCTCGAGGAGTGGACGAAGGGAATTAGCTAATTTTTCTAACTAGACGAAGGTTAGGACGGGTCTGAAAGTCTTCTCGATTTGATTTGAAAATAATAATAAAATAAACTACTGGATGCTTTTGAGAAAAAGAAAATAAATAGTACGGGTATAGGACTAGACTTCGGGCCAAGGCATCATCTGAGTTAACTACTGTTGTCACATATTTAATCAATAATTGGAATAATAATATTTCTGTCACAAATATTTCATTAACTTATCCTCTCTCAAGGCAACATTAATGTGTTCTAAAAAGTTTAGCTTAATTAATTTTATATCCTCATAGACAAGGCAAAAACTAATTTCCAATTATTAATTAATTTTTCTCTCGACATAATTAATTAATTT